CGAACCTCTAACAATTAAAGACAAAGAATCTGAAAGCATCCAGAGTCATAACACTTTACCTATATGAGAAAAACAATTAGAATGACAGCAAATTTCTCACAAAAAACCAAGAAGGCCTAAAGAAAGTGGCACAATATTTTTTTAAGTGCAGAAAAAAAAGAACTGTCAACCATGAATTCTACATCTGGCAAAATTATCCTTCAAAAATGAAGATCAATAAAGACATTGTCAGACAAAGGAAACTGAGAGAACTCATTGCTAGCAGGTCTAGCCTTAAGGGACAGCTAAAGGACATTTTCCAAGGAAAAGGTAACAGAAGAAGGCTTGGAACTGCAGAAGGGAAATAAAAATGATAAAATGGGTAAAAAAACTTATAAAGTGGTGAGGGGATAAATATAATAGACTATCTCATTTTTTATGAGTTTCTTAAATAATATTTAATCTTTGACACAAAAATCATAACACCATCTGATGTGGTACTCAATGTATGTATGGAAAATATCATAGAATTATATTTTTAAAGCGGGTAGGTGGAAGTAAGGTTTTTATACTTCATTTAAAGTGGTAAAACATCATTAACAGTAGAATGTGATAAATTACATGTATATGTATATGTGTATGGATATATATATTTGACAAATGTCATAGACAAATTCAAAACTATACTTGGGGATCTCAACACCCCACTCTCCGAAACTGACAGAAAGTCAGCAAAGATTTAAAATATCTGAACACCACCACCATCCAACAAGATCTAATTAACATTTAAAGAACACATGACCCAATGATGGCAAAATACACATTATTTTTAAGTACCTGTGAAACATTCACAAAATCAGACCATTCATATCCTGGGCCATAAAACAAACCTCAAGACATTTAGAAGACTTGAAATTATACAAACTAAGTTCCTTGAAGATAATGGAATCAGGATAGGAATCAATAACTGAAAGTCAATGGGAAGATCTCTAAACACTTGGGTATAAAACAACAGAATTCTAAATGATTTATAGGTTAAAGAGGAAGTCTCAAAGAAAAAAGATACATGTAACTGAATGTAAATGAAATGCATCATATCAACATTTGTGGAATGCACCTACAGTAGTGTCAAAAAAGAAATCATAAGACCAGAAATCAATAAAATTAAGTAATGTCAGCAAAAATGGCAGAGTAAAGGATCTGCAAAACTCCATATAAGCAATGAGAAAAGTGGCAAACTTTTAAGAATCAATATTTTTCAAATCTCTGGAAATTAACCAAAGGCTTTCAGCAATCTAGGAGTATTTATTCAATACAAAGTCTGAATTGAAATAAGAACGGTGAGTTTTCTGGCATTTTAACTTGTCTTATTCCCATCTCACCTCACCCCAGTTCTGTATTAGCCTTGAAAACCAACTGCCCACAATAACAGTGAAAACCAACAAACTGGCAGCCACTGGAGTGTTCAGAACAGTGTTGGAGATTCAAGCCTCATTCCCAGAAAGTTGTCATCATTTGACCTACATGGTGGTTCCTTGTATTTATGTGACCTGGCTTGGAGCTTGCCTAGTGTGGAAAGCCTTGTCTCTGGGGCATTCGTCAAAGACATTTGGAATTATTTAACTTCACTGCTGCCTGAGGTGGTAGATACCAATAGGGCAAATAATAGGCTAATCAAAAAGCTTAAAAGGAAAAGCTGGGGAATGAGATGTCTGTAGGGGCTTTAAAAAGCCCTGTCACATTCCTAGGAATCTAGAAGACCACACACATGCACAAGACTATGCACATGTTCAGGAAAGACCTGAGAAAGCCCTAAGCTCTCACCTTAGCCTGATCTTGAGGCTGTGTAAACAGAAAGCAAAGGCTTAGGCAGAGTTGTAAACTGCCTGGCTGAGCTTTACGGGCATGCACCAATATGTGCACACTGAGTCTATCCTAAAATATTGGGAGAAATATTGGTCCAGACATTTAAAGAAATCTGTCTAATTATTCCCTGACTGTTAAGCTAAACAAGCAGAACTTCAGTGGCCATACATGACAGAGTATATAGACTTTGCAGAATTAATTCAGAAAGCTACTAAACAAACAATGACAGCAAAAAATAACAATAATAAAACCTGGGGAGGGGGGAGAATCTGATTTCCAGAGTCGCCACATTATATTGTTTATAATGTCCAGTTTTCAACAAAAAATTCCAATACGTATTCCTAAGGAGGCCCATATGTTGGAATTACTAAATAAAGACTTTATATCAGCTATTTTTAATATGTTCAGAGAACTATAAAAAGAATCAAACAGAAAAGTACAATAACTGAAATGAGAATTTACTAGAGGGACTCAGTAGATTTGAGCAAACAAATGAAAAAATCAGTGACCTTCAAGATAGGTTAATTGACATTATTCAGTCTGAGGAATAGAGAAAAAATAATTAAGAAAAATATATAGAGAATCCCAGAGTCTTCTGGAGGCTCATTAGAAGAGGAAAGAGAGAAAGAGGAAGAAATAATATTTTAAGAAATCATGGCTCAAAATTTCCCAAATTAATTATATTACCAAAATGTAACTAATGTTTGATAAAAATCATTGATTACAAGTCCAAGAAACTGAACATAGTTTATGCAAAATAAACTAAAAAAAGATGTACACCTAGAAACATAATCAAATCATTGATAGCCAAAATCAAAAAGTGAATCTTGAAAGCAGTAAGAAGGAATTCATCATACACACTGAGATTAACAGCAGATTTCTCATAAAAAACCATGGAGCCAGAATTTGAAATATTCAAATTGCTGAGAGAAAAACACCGTCAACAAGTAGTCTCATTTCCAGCAAACTATCTTTCACAAAAGAAGGCAAATTAAGCCATTCCCAGATACACAAAAATTGAGGAAATGTTTAGCTAGCAAAGCTGCTGTACAAGAAACACTTCCTTCCTACAAGAAATGCTTCCTTTCTACAAGAAAGGAAATCCTTCAGTCTGAAGTGAGAAGACACTAGACAGTAACTTGAAGAAATAAAGATCTCTAGCAAAGGCACTACAAAGGTAAATATAAAAGACAATATTAATGTATTTTTGTTTGTAACACTGTTTTCTCCTGACTGATTTAAAAGACAATTGTATAAGGCAATAATTACAGAGCTGTGTTGACAGGTGCACCATGTATAAGCACCTAATTTGCATGACACAGAAAGGGGAGGGAACAGAAATACAACACATGCAAAGCTTTTGAATTCTATTGAAATTAAATTGATTTCATTACAATTGGATCAGTATAAATTAAGGTGGTAATTTTCATGCCAAGGGCAACCACTACAAAAAATAACTCAAAAATATAGTTAAAGAAATACTGAAGGAATTGAAGTGGTATATTAGAAAATATATATTTAACACAAAAGAAGGCAGTAACATACAACACATGCAAAGCTTTTGAATTCTATTGAAATTAAATTGATTTCATTACAATTGGATCGGTATAAATTAAGGTGGTAATTTTCATGCCAAGGGCAACCACTACAAAAATAACTCAAAAATATAGTTAAAGAAATACTGAAGGAATTGAAGTGGTATATTAGAAAATATATATTTAACACAAAAGAAAGCAGTAACGGAGGAGTAAAGGAATGAAAAAGCATAAGACATATCAAACACAATACCAAAATGGTACACATAAATTCTATTATAACAGTAAGGACATTAAATGTAAATAAATTAAACATTCAATTAAAGGACATCACAAAATGGATTTAAAAACGGTCCAACTATATGCTGCCTATAAGACACACATTAAATTAAAAAACACAAATAGTTGGAATTAAAACAATGGATAAATACTATGCAAACAGTAACCAGAAAAGAGCTGGAGTGGCTATAATAATAAAATAGACTTAAGATAAAAATTGTTACAGAGTTGAAGAAATTGAAGAATATCTTTTATTTCTTATTATATGGAAGAAAATCTGTGTTCATGAATTGGAAGACTCAATATTGTTAAGATGGCAATACTCTCCAACTTGATCTACAGAATCAATGCAATCCCTATCAAAATCCCAGTAGGCTTCTCTGAAGAAACTGACAAGCTGATTCTGAAAATTAACACAGGGGAAAGAAGAATCCCTTCAACAAATGATGCTAGGAAACTGTATATCAATACACAAAAAGAATGAAGATGGAGTGTTGGTGGTATAGCGGTGAGTATACACAAAAAGAATGAAGATGGAGTGTTGGTGGTATAGCGGTGAGTATAGCTGCCTTCCAGGAATGAAGTTGATCCCCTACCTCACACTATATATAAAAATTAACTCCGAATGGATCAAAGACATAAATCTAAGAGCTAAAACTATAAAACTCTTAGGAGACACCAAAATGGTACACATAAATTCTATTATAACAGTAAGGACATTAAATGTAAATAAATTAAAAAACACAAATAGTTGGAATTAAAACAATGGATAAATACCATGCAAACAGTAACCAGAAAAGAGCTGGAGTGGCTATAATAATAAAATAGACTTAAGATAAAAATTGTTACAGAGTTGAAGAAATTGAAGAATATCTTTTATTTCTTATTATATGGAAGAAAATCTGTGTTCATGAATTGGAAGACTCAATATTGTTAAGATGGCAATACTCTCCAAATTGATCTACAGAATCAATGCAATCCCTATCAAAATCCCAGTAGGCTTCTCCGAAGAAACTGACAAGCTGATTCTGAAAATTAACACAGGGGAAAGAAGAATCCCTTCAACAAATGATGCTAGGAAACTGTATATCAATACACAAAAAGAATGAAGATGGAGTGTTGGTGGTATAGCGGTGAGTATAGCTGCCTTCCAGGAATGAAGTTGATCCCCTACCTCACACTATATATAAAAATTAACTCCAAATGGATCAAAGACATAAATCTAAGAGCTAAAACTATAAAACTCTTAGGAGAAAAAATAGGGGTAAATCTTTATGATCTTGGATTAGACAATGCCTTTTTAGCTATGACTCTAAAGGCACAAACAGGGAGAGCCCGCTGTGGTGGTGACAACGTGGCTGATGTGCAGAGTGTCAGAGTGAATCTGGAGGCATTTTCCCATGCCATCAGTGCCATCCAGGCGCTGTGCTCCAGCGTGAGTAGGGCGTTCTACTGCCTGAAGAATGGCATGTGGAACGAGGAGACAATGGAGGGCCAGGAGAAGTCCTTCACTGCACACTTCCAGGAAAGCTTGAATTCTATCAACTGGGACCTCAGTGAGCCAGAACATCTGAGCAATTTGGTAGCAAGCCATCTGAGAACCATCCTCTCCATGACAGTGGGTTGTTAAGCCTGGATCCTGTGCAGGACAAAACCCCTCTCTATAGTCAACTCCTTCAAGCATATAAGTGGTCAAACAAGTTGCAGTGCCATGCAGGTCTAGCATCTGGCCTTTTGAATCAATAGTTGCTGAAGCATTCTGCTAATGCCAAATGCAGACCAAAGACTCAGCCCATGACTCTCACCTTACTGCCTCAATATGATGATGACATGATCAGCTGCATTGACAGGATATTTCCTGAAATGTCCATCTACTTATCCAGACCCAATGGAACATCAGCAATGCTTCTGGTAACCTTGGGAAAGGGTCGAAAGTGATCATTGTCATGCAGAGCCTATTCATTGATCCAACAATAGTAAAGGAAGATAATGAAAATGTCTACACAGAAGACTGCAAGCTTGATATATGATCCAAATCCAACTATGAAGTATTCCAGAAGGTGACAGACC